TTCAGGTTGCTAAGCGGCTCCAGGGGGACCTGTGGGGCAGGGATCTCTCTTGAGGTTGACCCGTGTCACTTGCCTGGATTTGTGGGGCTCCAAGGATGCATGAGTCAGCCAGAGCTCACCTTAAGGGGTGCGGTGGGGAGAGAGGAGGGCAGTGGAGACGACCTTCCTCCCTGCAAGGTAGGCTTAGCCATTCACAACAGGATTTGGAGTCTCAGGAGAGACTTGGACTCCTGCCCACGTGTCTCCTCGTTTCCTGCCTGCTGTTTGTAAGTTACTCTGCTGTAGTTAATAAAGTGACCCTCTTTAAATCCCACACTTTGTGTCTTGCCTCTTTAGTCCTGGGCTCCTCATATGGCTGTCTTCAACTGATCCAGTCCCGAGACCTATCTCTGAATAACTACTACTACTACTACTTTATTTTATTATTTGTATCCCATCCATCTGGCTGGGTTGCCATTCTGGGCGGCTTCCAACAAATATAAAACATAATAAACCATCAGACATTAAAAACTTCCCTATACAGTTCTGCCTTCATGATACCCAACTTTATTTTTTGTTCATACTTAATAGTGCTAACCATATGTATTATTAATCACACAGAGCAATATACATTGTCCTACCTTAGCGTTACTTCTAAATAAGAACCCATGATTTTTATACTTTGCCAAAAGACTGGAAAGCATTTTAAAATCGGCTCTTGATATATTTGGAGATGGCTCTCGGAACTTCTCATTGTCTCCTCTTGTCCAGGCTAAACATGGCCAGCTCCTTCAACTGTTCCTCATATGGCTTGTTTTCCAGACTCTTGATCATCTTGTTTGCCCTCCTCTGCACATCCTCCAGCTTGTCTATCTATCTGGTGCCCAGAATTGGACACAGTATTCCAGGTGTGGTCCAGCTAAGGCAGAATAAAGTGAGACTAGGACTCCCCTTGATCTGGACCCTGTACTTCTGTTGATGCAGCCTAGAAGAGCGTTATTGCTGAATTTCTTTTAGTTTGCCATTGTTCACTGTCTCGGGCTGCAGGAAATGTTGTTCATGCCCTACATACAGTTTGCATTTTGGTCAGACAAGCAGGCTGAGATCCTGACCTTGCCTCTTGGATGTGAAATCTGCAAAAGGGCAGAGGGCTCTTTTGCTGGAATCCTATAGGTATCTCGTTGGCTACTGTGAGAACAGGATGCTGGACTAGACGGGACACTGGCCTCATCCAGCAGGCTTCTCTTATGCAGCCTTAATAGCATCAACCCAGGGAGCATTTACAACAGGGCAGTTGGCAGCTAAATGGGACATTCTGAGTGTGCCCTGCAATCAGGGGTGGTGTGTCCCATTTCTCTACCTGAGATGAAATGGGGAGGCTTTGCCGCTGCCACACCAAGGACTCGCTTTATGGAATCGCGCGTCTGCACGTTCAATGAGATATCCCAAGAGGTCTGTGAGATCTCCCTGGAATCTGGAAGCCACAGCCACTTCTTGCATCTCTGTGGGGCACTCCTTTGCCACAGGAGGAGACGCTGGGGCCGTGGCGAGATCTTGCAAGTGTTCAGTAGGAGCAGGTGGGGTGCCTTTGTGGGATTCCAGTGCCCAAGGAGGCTGCCTCAGTCCGCTTCGTGTGTGGTCCAGCCCTGCCTGTGATTTCTCAGTCTGGTGTTCTTGGAGGCTGGGGTTCTATTGAGGACGCGGTTCAATACTGACCGAAGAGCTCGATGGTGCGGTTAAGCCCACGCTTGGAGGCTGATCTCTGAGCAATGATTGTCTTCGAGGAATATGCAGAGCATAGGGGCAACTCTCCAGGGATCTTCATGCCTCGTGTGCATGGCCATCTTCTTACGAAGTTTCAGTTCTGGACAGAAACTAAGAAAACACTTGAGCAGCTGGTGCTGGGTGTGTTGGAGGTACTTTGGGCCTGTTCATTTAGGATTGTGCCTCAATTTGGAAACACCTCTGCGAGGCCTCTGTACCATTGGGTTCCTGAAAAGCTGAGGAAAAGAGAACTGTCCGGAGTTGCAATCTACTGACGATGTTTCTTTTCAACAGGAGGCCTGGCTGGAGGCAAGCGTGTCCGAGTCCTCATCGCAGGCCACGGTATTGTTCTTGGCGCCAGTCATAGAGCGAAACACTACAGTCCGGGAGCTGACTTTGGTCTGGGCCCGGTGGCCTCTGTTCAGTGGTTGGGCAAGATAAATTTGAAGTGGAGTCAACTGTTGCCCACAATCTTCCAGGACGGGGTGGTCGGGCAGAAACCGGACATGGTGGTCCTGCACGCAGGTGGCAATGACCTTGGGTTGATGTCGTATAACAAGTTGCTTAAGAAAGTGATAGAGGATTTGGAGGAGATTAGGCAAAGGTGGCCGGGGGTCGTTATCCTGTGGTCCAACATCTTGCCCAGGAGAGCCTGGATTAACATCCCAATCATGAAGCTATTGTGCAAAAAGCGGAAACAGTTTAATAGACAAATGAGAATGGCGCTGTATGCAACGGGGGATGGAACGATATCTCACACCCAAATTAATCCCACTAGGAACGAACTTTACGGAAAGGATGGGATTTCCTTGTCTGCTGCTGGGAACGATATTTTCCTCTCTAATCTCCACACAGAAATAAAAGCACATATTCTGCGGCGGTGGGGGAAGAAGAACTAAGCTGAGCTTTATCCTCCTGCGAAAGGGGAGAAGTTGGCAAAACCGCGAGTACCCCAAATCACTTTTCAGGTTGCTAAGCGGCTCCAGGGGGACCTGTGGGGCAGGAAGGGATCTCCCTTGAGGTTGACCCGTGTCACTTGCCTGGATTTGTGGGGCTCCAAGGATGCATGAGTCAGCCAGAGCTCACCTTAAGGGGTGCGGTGGGGAGAGAGGAGGGCAATTGAGACGACCTTCCTCCCTGCAAGGTAGGCTTAGCCATTCACAACAGGATTTGGAGTCTCAGGAGAGACTTGGACTCCTGCCCACGTGTCTCCTCGTTTCCTGCCTGCCGTTTGTAAGTTACTCTGCTGTAGTTAATAAAGTGACCCTCTTTAAATCCCACACTTTGTGTCTTGCCTCTTTAGTCCTGGGCTCCTCATATGGCTGTCTTCAACTGATCCAGTCCCGAGACCTATCTCTGAATAACTACTACTACTACTACTACTACTTTATTTTATTATTTGTATCCCATCCATCTGGCTGGGTTGCCATTCTGGGCGGCTTCCAACAAATATAAAACATAATAAACCATCAGACATTAAAAACTTCCCTATACAGTTCTGCCTTCATGATACCCAACTTTATTTTTTATTCACACTTAATTGTGCTAGCCATACGTATTGTTAATCATACAGAGCAATACACATGGTGCTACCTTACTAGGGAGGAGACCCTGGGGCTCGTAGAGGGTAGCCTGATGAAGGTTCCAGTGGAGTGAGTTGTGACTGAAAACTGCAGATTCCATCCCAGAGATCATTTACGAAAAGTGTGGGAAATAGAATTGCTGCTATCATAACACTGTCATGCAGATCTGCAGTGCGAATGCGTCTGGAATATTGCATACAGTTCTGGTTGTCGCACCTAAGAAAGGATGTTGTAAAGATGGGAAAGGTTCAGAAGAAGGGGAACAAAGGGTGGATGGCATTTGGGGCTTTTCAGTTGAGAGAAAAGGTGAAGAAGAGGCAACATGATAAAAGTTTATGAAATGATGCAGGGCATGAAGAAAGTGGATAGGGAAAGGCTTTTCTCTCTCTTACAGCACTGGAAGTAAGGAAGCTGGATAATGGTAGAATCAGGACAGATTAAAAGTAAGTGCCATCTAGTCCAACCCCCTGCAATGCAGGAATATTGGCTAAAGCATCCCTGAGAGATGGCCACCCAACCTCCGATTAAAAACCTCCAAGGAAGGAGCCTACAAGCTCCCAAGGGAGACTGTTCGGCTGTTGAAGCAGCTCTTAAGTTCTTCCTGCTGTTGAGTCTGAATCTCCTTTCTTGTAACTAGAAGCAATGGGTTTGAATCCTACCCCCCTGGAGCAGGAGAAAACAAGCTTGCTCCATCTTCCATGAGAAATTTGAAGATAGCTCTCTTATCTCCTGAAGAAGTGTGCATTCACACGAAAGCTCATACCAATAACATTAGTTGGTTTCTAAGGTGCTACTGGAATGATTTTTAATCTATTTATTTTTTGACTACGGCAGACCAACACGGCTACCTCCCTGTATTTCTCTTATCTCCTCTCAAGTCTCCTCTTTTCCAGGCTAAAGATATGCAGCTCCTTCAAGTGCTCCTCATAAGGTTTGGTTTCCAGACCCTTGAACATCTTGGTTGCCCTCTTCACACCTTCTAAGTTTGTCAGGCGTCGGGGAAATGGCTCCCTCTTCCCCTTTGGCTGTGCATCAGCAGAAAAAAGCAATTAAGAGTCCCATACCAGTTTAAGAGTGTTTAATGATCATAGAGAAATAACACCGCAGCCATTCTTGGAGTGTAGGTGCTCCCTTCACTTGCTGCTGGATCATCACCTTGTCATGGTGAGTGGGCTTGCACATTCCTATGACCCTTGTGAGCGAAATAAATTATTATTATTATTATTATTATTATTATTATTACTATTACTATTATTATTATTACTTTTATTATTATTGTTGTTGTTGCAGCATCGGATGAGTGAAATTGCTAACACTTAGTCTAGTAAGAAGGGCAAGCTCCTGAGATGCTTCTGCAGCCTCTGTCCTCTCCTCCTCTGCAACATTTGCTGAGTCTGAACCGCTTTCTGCGCCTGGCTCTTCCGGCTCGAGAAAGCCTGTTGCCTCTTCAGCACCCCACCATTCCTCTCCTCCTCCTCCTCTCTGCCCCACCACCACTCCCCAGGCTCTGAGCCTTCCTCCTCTGGCTGGCTGGTGCCTCCCAGCTAACCCCCCACATCACGACAAATTGGGACTTACTAGCAGATAGAATTAAGTCCCTTAGGAAATGGCATTCCAGGGCACACCTGCGCCCCTGAACTTACACTGTCTTGTTTATTTTCTTGGTTTTTTGAGGATTGGCCACCAAGAAGGTATGGATTTGCGGGCACAGCGTTGTGTATTGGGCCGAAGTCCGCGCAGTTTCGTCCAGGTGGGGCAGCAACCTGGGCTTCCCCTCGAATATAGAGCTGTCGTGGATCAGCCAGAGGGGAATGAGGTGGCATCAGCTCCTACCATTGCTGACTGCTCGGATCTCTACGGCGGGCCCACCTGATATCATCATCTTTCACCTGGGTGAGAACGACGTGGGCGGACAAAGGATTTATGACCTAGTCAAGGCTATCACTGAAGACTTGGAGGCCTTGCACTTTCAATACCCACGGATCAGCCTTTGTTGGTCCGAGCTACTGGAGAGGCAGCACTGGCCTATTATTCTGAGGCCTGGCGCCCCGGAACCGCGGCAGGCATCCATGAAAAGATCAAGGGAGAGAATGAGGAAGAAAGTGAACAAAGACGTAACGCACAAGGTGCAGATGTTGGGTGGCTGGGTGATCCGACACCCTGACATCACAGTCGAACGGGAGGCCTTATTCCGACAGGATGGGGTAGACCTCTCCGATGAGGGACTTGATGTTTGGTTGACTGACCTGGTGGGAGGCCTAAAGTATTGTTTTCAGATGTGAGTGGTTTGGCGGTGAGCATTTGCTTGAGGGCCGGTTGATGCATTGGATAGGCGTAGTCTTGGATTGAGGGGAGGCTGTAGCCTCTGCCTACCCCTCCGGAAAAGGGATCCGGGAAAGATGCTTCTGCTCGGATGCCCAGGTGGGGGCTAGGCCCAGGTGCAATCCAGCAAGGGACTTACTCTTTGATGCAGGTCAAGAACTCGCTCACTTCCAGTTGACCCCAAATTAAGTCCTTCCGGCAGACGGGCCAGAAATTGTTTGTTCTCCCTGATGTCTATGTGAAACCTCTTACCCCAGTAGTTAATAAAGCCATGACCTGATTTTACCCAAATACTACTTGCCTTGTCTCTTTATTCATTGAATTTAGGGGGGAGGGGTTCCATAGGACAGGGGATGCATGGTCACATAATTCTGCTCCCTGTCCTTGGTTGGCGCCATTGAGTGCCAGCACGTCCTCCACCATGAACGATCCAATGAGGGAGACCCATTGGGTCACTTTGTGGGCAGCAAAGGAGGTCCTTGGGCTGAGCTTGCTGCCTGGGAAGTGGATCCTGGCCGCTTGCTCAAGCGAGGGGGCAGACTCAGTCTGGTCCCTGGGCATATAACCAAGGCCCCTGACTTACCTTAACATCCACTTCCTTGTTATTTTAGGATGTTCTTTGGGGTGGGGATTTCTGAAAAAGTGGGAAGGCATGGCGTTTGCTGCAGGGCGAGTCAGACGTTAGGGCTCACCCCCACTGATTAATTCTCCCGGGGGCCCGAGAGTTTCTCTCCGTGCCTTGCAAAAGCTCAATCTTATGTGCTGAATCGGGTCTTACCAGATTGTGTGGAAAATCAGAAGAGAGGTTTTCCATAACCCGAGCTTCAGTGCAGAGGCGAGGAGGGGAAGGTACCAACTGCAGCAAGCCTAACACCTCTTCAGGAGCAGCAGGGAATTTATGCAGCGAAGGAGAGCTCAGTGTTTTGGTTTTGAGATCCTTAGGAGGATAAGGGCCTGCAGCGTAATCAGGAATCTGAAGGCTGAAGTTAGAAAAACAAGTTTGTCTTTTTCTGCTGCATCCCCTCTTTCAAATTGGGAGGCACACTATCCTGTCTACTGCCTTGGCAGCAGGACAGGATGCAAGATCTGACGTGCTATTATTTTGCTATGGTTTAAAAGGGTAATAGTCTTGTGCCATCTCAGATTGCATCCTATGTCAGGGTTCACATGGTCGAAAGCTTTTCCATTTCCTACAGAGAGAAAATGAGCACATTGGGGTGATGGCTAGGCTTCAACCCCTGTCCCTGACATACTTGTTTCCTACATGCAGGGATATTTTTTTTAATTGCTCAGGAAGTGGACTGCCTGTGTCAGCTTCTGCCTTTGACAATATGGGGGCTATGTAGTAGGTTGGATGGCTTCAAAAGGGATTAGACAAGTTTGTGGTGATGTTTGGCCCTGGAGCAGAGCTAAGCGTCCTGGATTGTCCATGATCTCCAGGCAGATATTTCTTCTGAAGAAGCCACAGAGGGCTGTCCACAAGTGCCACAAGGGTTCGACATGAACCCTCAAAGCTTGCTAAATGACAGCTGGCGAAATCTAGTTAAGCTAATTTAATGCAGGGTAGTGGAGACAAAATCAAGGGACACTTTCTACAAATGGAGGCCAGGCGGCAGAAGCTGAATGGGCCAGTGTGGAAACAGGAGCATTGGAAGTGAGCGCATGAATGGACATGTGAGATCCTCCCAACCCTATAATGACATCTGTTTTTGTAATTAAATTTGTAATTTTGTAATTAAAGGCAGCATTCGTTCCATTATTTTATCCTTTGCCAACCTGGTGCCCTCCAGCTCTTTTGTGCTGCAGTGCCCATCAGCCCAGTTGGGTGAATGCTGCATTAATTATTGCCTAAGAAGAGCCTGTTGGTTAAAAAGACTGAAAATTGTTTACTGAATGTATAGGAGAAAATTGTGTTTCTTTAAAAACGCTGGTAGCCTTAAGATAAATTCAACAGTGTAAATAAGTTTTGATGGATGTAGCAATGGATTACTAATGGTTTAGTTCATGTGCAATATGCAGGGATTTATGATATGCAAAATGAACCATGGAAGGAGAAGAAGGGAAGTCATAGATGTAAGGTTATTTAAATGCATATTTTGAAATGTAATTTAGAAAAGTTAATACAATTTATTTATTTTTTTAAAAAAGAAGATGTTTATTTATTTATTTTAAAAAGAAGAGCCTGTTGGATCAGCCTTAAGGGGGCCAATCTAGTCCAGCATCTTCTGCCATCGATCACCCTCTCCACCTCCATGAATTTGTCCAATCCTCTCCTAAAGCCATCTAGTTTGGTGGCCATTCCTGCCTCCTGTGGTTTAATGGTGTGTTGCACAAAGAAGTCTTTCTTTATCTCTCCTGCGTATTTTGCATCCGCTCTTCAATCATGTTTTTTTTATTAAGGATTGCGTTCACTTCATTATGTGTTTAGTTTTCTTTTGCTAAAATAGCCTTTGTTGCTCTTCCTGTGTGCTGGGCTTCCCCTCCTGTGGTAATGGCGGTCCAGGACCTGACTTTGGCGTCTGTCAAGTATGCAAAACAAGATTTACAAGCAGCTGCAGGAAACAGACCAATGCGAATTCTCAAGGCAGTTTCTTTTGGCATTTCGTGAAATGATGGCTCGGGATAAGAGCTCTTTCGCTCACAGGCTGTTTCCCTCTTTTTCATCCCCTTAAAGACTTCGGTCGTGGAAGCGCCAGTGGATTGAGCTGAGTAATAATGGTGGCCAAAAGGAAATAGTGTGTGCAAATTGGGCAGAAACCTGCCATGAGTCATAGCTAGTGCTGCCATCCAGACTTCTGCTTCTGCACTAGAACTACTCCCTCCTCCCTCTCCCACGGTCTTCTGCACTCAAAAACTGCTCCAAAATGTTTGTGGAGTCTCAAGATCACTTTTTTTGGGGGGGGGGGGGTTGCACAGCGAGAGGAAGCAATCCTGCTGCACAAGTGGAACTCCATTGGCGAACCATTTGAGACAACCCATTACAGTGGTGCTTCGCAAGACGAAAAGAATCCGTTCCGCGATTCTCTTCGTCTAGCGGTTTTTTCGTCTTGCGAAGCAAGCCCATTGACAGCTTAGCGGATTAGCGCTACAGCGGTCTAGCGGCTTTCAGCGATCAGCTGTTAAGTGACTTATCAGCGGAACAGCTGATAAGCGGCTTAGCGCCTTAGGAAAAGGGGGGGGGAGCGAAAAAAACCCGTGGGGACTCGCAAGAGTTTTTCGTCTTGCGAAGCAACCCCATAGGGAAATTCGTTTTGCGAAGCGCCTCCAAAACGGAAAACCCTTTCGTCTAGCGGGTTTTCCGTCTTGCGAGGCGTTCGTCTTGCGGGGCACCACTGTATTATGATGATGATGATGATGATGATTTGGCTTACGCCCCAGGCAGGTCACTTTGGTGTTGCTAGCGCACTGTGTACTCCATTGTCTCTCGGTGTAGACTTTATTGATACTAAGCCGCGCTCCCTGGTTCATGCTGCCCATTCTTGTAGGCAATATTGATTGGTGCTGCTGCCAGTCTGTGAGGACAATATTTGATTCAGGCGGGCTGCCTGCCAGTGTAGACATTATTGACCTCAGTGGTTTGCAATCTTGTGTATACGCAGCTGTCTTTTATCGTTTGCTATGCCTGCCAACAAGAAGCAAGCTTCTGGTGCTTCTCCCCCACGCACTAGGCACAGGACTGCTAGAGTATCTCAGTACTCTGCTCCTTTGTCCTGTTGTGTTTGGGTTTGAACATCGTTTCCCCCACCAAATTTTTCCCGGCGGTTAATAACAACATGGCTGACGCATTATCTCAGTTCCAGATGGATAGTTTTCCATTTTTAGCGCCCGAGCCCCAGCAGTTACCAGAGCATTTTTTGGAAGCTTGACGTGATGCAGGGAGTATCTGCCTCTTGCACCATCCATGCTTAGATCCTACAAAAAGGCGTGGTCCGATTTTATTGCTTTCCGCACAAAATCTAACTCAGACCTTGCCAGCCTCCTACGGAGGATCACGTATTGCCTTGTGCACCTCTGGAGGCTAGGTCGCATGGCTAAAACATTATCCATCCAATCTGCTGCTCTTGCCTTCTTCAGCAAATGTATTTTCTGTTGATCCCTGCGCAGCATTTATGGTATGTAGGGCGATGAATGTTGGGGTAGACTTCAACCACCAAACACAGGAGAGTAGAAAAACGATCACTTTTGACCTCCTTTACCATATCTGTAGGGATTTAACAGTCATTTGCTGGTTAAAATACATGTCTCACCTGTCTGGGCAGTATATGTCATAGCATTATTTGGGGCCCTCAGAGTGGGCGAAGTTGTCAATGAGGGTGAGCCAGGCATTTCCTCCAGGGGGTTACTGTTAGAGGACATAAATTTGTCTTAGAATTGGTAATATGCATCCAACAATCTAAAATCAGGGAAAGGAGCCCTTATCAGACTCTCGGCATCAGAGCACAAGGGCCCGTGTCCCGTAAAGGATGCCAGGAGATACCCCTGCTTCAGGCGTCCTGGTCCGGGCCCCTTCCTTATTCACCAAGATCGCTCTCGCCTGGCTCGACACCAGTTTACCCACGTGATGCGGAAAGTGGTCTCCCGGCTGTGGATCTTGCTGTGCATTCCTTTAGGATTGGTGCTGCCATGATGTCTGCCCATTGGGGTGTGCTAATCGACAGAATCAAGGATATGGGATGCTGGAGATCTGATGCATATAGAAGGTATATCTGCAAGAACCCATGGTAATCATGCTCTGCACTCCTTTATTTTCAGGTTGCCCCGTGATAAACATATGGATCGTAGGACACTGTATTATCCACTGGGCCCATGTGCGTGCCATCAATACTGGCTTGGGTAGCTGCCTAGGGCTTCCTGAAAATGTCAGTGTCTCCTGGGTAACAAGGTGTGACTTGAAATGGGAGGAGCTTATGCCAATCGTGATGGCCAAAGCTGCCTTGCATGGCCCCCCCAACGCTCTGATTGTTCAACTTGGAGAGAACGACCTGGGTCAAAGGAACGGCAATGGCCTAAACATAAGCATGAGAGAGGACTTTGATAAACTGGCTGTTTTGTTCCCAGAAATGACCTTAATCTGGTCTGAAATGCTGGTGAGGCGGCATTGGCGAGATTGCTCCCGTCCGCACAGAATCGACAAGGCCAGGAAAGCTATTAATCGTAGGGTGGCATATGAGGTGCAGCTCTTGAATGGACGGGTGATACGACACCCCAACATTACTTACAGGCAGGAGGACTTGTTTCATAATGACGGCGTTCACCTTTCCGATTTGGGAAGTGATGTTTGGCTGGCTGAT